AACAGATGAATGAATAAAGTTGTGGTATATATATATACACACAAATGGAATATTATTCAGCCATGAGAAAGAAGGGAATCCTGCCATTTGTGACAACATGGATGGATCCTAAGCTGAGAGATGTCAGACAGAGAAAGACAAATACTGTATGATACCACTTATACGTGGAATCTGAAAAAGCCAAACGTGTAAGTACATTGGTGATTACCAGAGGTTGGGGCCTGGGGGGTGAGGGGAGAATTGGGGATATGTTGTTTAAGGGTACTAACTTGGAACTAATAAATAGGTCCTAGAGATATAATGTATAGCATAGTGATTATAGACAAAAATACTGTATTACAAACTTCGAAGTTGCTAAGACACTAGATCCTAATTGTTTCTTCCACACACAAAAAAAGAAATTATAAATATGTGGCATGATCGAAGTACACCTCTATTACGCTATATCTATTTTATACTACAATATATAAATGTTCAAGTCAACAGTTTGGGCACCTTACACAATGTCACGTATTGTCAGTTTTACCTCAATAAAAATAAATTTTAAAAAACGGACCTTAGGAGAAAAGGCCCAGCACTGCCTTTAGCTGCCTCAATTTAGAGAGCCCTTAAATCCAGAATTCTATGCCTACCCCCTCCTATAGCTGTGTCCCTTTCCGAGAGGTACAGAGTCGATAGGGCCGACAGGATATGCCCACCTGGACACCATTCTGTTCCATTTTAGATCATATTCAAGTTACCTGGACTCAAATTTCCTGCCTAAACAACTCAGCTTCCAGGGCCTTCAAAAGCACCCTTCAACCAGTCCATCTTCCCCAAGGTACACCCCTAAATCTAAAGGTGGCCAAGATGTGGTTATTTGCAGGGGCACAAAATTTAATGCATGTAGGCTCAAGAATCCCTAATTGTTCCTTTGAGGTGCATGCAGGAGGCAACCAACTGATGATCTCTCTCCCACTGATATTTCTCTCTGCTCTCCCCCTCCTACTCTGTCTAAAAATCAATGAAAAAAATATCTTTGGTGAGGTTTACCAACAACAAAAATATCCTGTCAGTTTGCTGCCAACCCAAAAGTCTGAAGGTTCAAATTGTGATGTGATTTCTTAGAATTAAAAATTTTCTTAAATATCAAGCCACTTAATTCTTAGATGAGATATGGTTACGTCGCACAGATGGCTACACAAGAGTCTCCATTCTAGTATTTAAAAATGTAATGAAGAAATAAAAACCCTTATTTGTGTGGCATCTTATAATTACAATATCTCATGTACTCTTCACAGAAAGCAAATGTTTTCCTCACTTAGATGAAAATACTAACCCATGTCCCAAGTGACATTACTGGTTACAAGGGTATTACGAAAATAGAACTTGGGTCTTTTAAATCCAGTGTTTTCGCTCTCATATATCAGGCTGCCCTTAGTATAAGGAGTTTGTTCCAAAGCATTTCCATTACTTTGTTCAGAAAAGAAGTTTTAAGATAAAATTTAGTACAAAAATTCACAAAAGATAAAATTACTTGTCATCAGAGCCGTACCGGCGGTATACCTGATTTCGGGAGTCACAGAGTTGGGGCTCTGCATGTTCAACAACACGTAGGTGTGTTCTACACCCTACACAATCACTGCCCCACAGCTTTCTGACCAAATCAAGTACAAGAGAAGCAGGACAATACATTACCAGAGGCCTGCATAAATGACCTCACAAAGTGAAGCAGGCCTTTCTGAAAGCTTACCTGAGTGCAAGCTGTTCCATCTGCTGGCTGGAGCTGGTAATGGAATATTAAGAAGCCAAAACGGAGATTCCTGCTATGAAACTAACAACACAAAATACTGTAATTTTAGAAAAGTTTGTAAAAGATTGCTGATTGGTTACGTTGAAACTATCAGTGTCTAGATCTAGAAGCTACATACTGAAAACTTAAATACCTGAAATCCATTCGAACTTTAAGAAGTTGGGGAATTGTGAACAGGAAATTGTGGCCGGTAGAAAGACAATCAGTAAACCTAAAGTTCAACAAAAGGTCTGAGAGCATACTGAGAAAAGTATTACAATTATATGGTGAATATCCCAAGTTTTCCTGTTGGGCTGGATAGGATTGCAGGATCCTTTTTCTAAAATGTATTTCTTATATATGAAAAGGACTTTAAAAATATAATACACTAAGTATGAGCAAAGAAAAATACAACAAACTAGGTACACACAAATTATTACCTTTTGGGGGCAGTAAGATCGAAGAAATGTTCGTTTTTATAATCCTCTACTGCAAAAGAAATAATGAACATGGGTGTTCTTTTCTTCTTGCCTTTGGGCAACTTTCTCCAGTAGCACTAGAAGCCCCCAGAATCTATAAACCAGATCTGTAAGTAAATAATTTTTCAGCATTTTTTTAATGAGTCAAAAGTGATTTATTTCTAGGTGTTTTTCCCAAATTGGTAAGGTCCCTAGTTGCCTAGCAATCAGCAAGATAGCAAAAAGCAAATTCCGTTACTGCCACTACATAGCTTGGGGGGAAAAAATCTCAATGGGAATCCCATCACTAAATCATCAAAGGAGGCTTTTTACCCTAGACTTCTGCCCAACAATCAGGCATGACTCCACCACCTTGGATGCTATGTCATGTTTTAAACAAGTCTGTTTTCACACAGTCATTGAGCAGCTGAAGCTGCAATTGAAGCTCCATTCTCTCTAATATACACCTAATTGTATGGTTTTTTTAATTTAGAAAATTATGTGACAATGTTGAAATACAGGGATTGCAGAAAATACATTTAAAAATGCAGTGTCCAGCCTGGCCAGTTTGGCTGTGAATAGAGCGGTCAGCCTGTGGACTGAAGGTCCAGGGTTCGATTCTGGTCCAGGGCATGTACCTCGATTGCAGGCTCGATCCCTGGCCTGTCAGGGCATGTGTGGGAGGCAAGCAATCAATGTGTCTCTCTCACATTGATGTTTCTATCTCTCCCCCTCCCACTCTCTTTAAAAATCAATGGAAAAATAGCCTCAGGTGAGGATTCACAAATAAAATGCACTGTCCAATAGAATGGAAATGAGAAATCATATGCTGCACACCAGATTTTCATTCATTCAAGCCCTTCCTTTCCATATGCTTCCAAGAGGCTACAGTCTATCAGGACTAAATAGAATGAATCAACATTCTAACAATATTAAAAGATTAGGGTCATCACTAACACTACTTTCTTTTAGTTTCCCCTAAATTTTAAGACTTGGCTAACATCACACTTCTTGTGAATGCCAGAGTTAGAACCAGAATTGGGTTTAATATTCCTGGTCAATTACTTCCTTACATTATACAATACTCATAGTTTAAAAGTTTTATCATTTGGAAATTTATCTCCTAACAGAGCTGTTAGAATTATTACCAAACAAAAATGTTCAAAGTCTGAATGCTATTCTTTCTTCCTATTTTATCTTCTGTTGAACAAATGATAAACTTTAGAACAGGGTTCCTCAAACTTTTTAAACAGGGGGCCAGTTCACTGTCCCTCAGACCGTAGGAGGGCCAGACTATAGTTAAAAAAAAAACTATGAACAAATTCCTGTGCACACTGCACATATCTTATTTTGAAGTAAAAAAAACAATACGGGAACAAATACATTATTTGTATTTGCATGTGGCCCGCGGGCCGTAGTTTGAGGACCCCTGCTTTAGAAGAACAAAAAGTCAAGATTAAGGAAATGGACAATTTAAAATGAATAAAATCAAGATCTAATCATAATCCTTTCTGCCAGTTCTAAAATAGGTTGATTTCAACACCAATTCTTAGATCTTTGTCACACGCCTTTCAGACTTGTAGACAAGGTTGTGGTGACAGACCTCAAGATGCACAGTTGATTCAATGACCAAGTTCATTTGAGCATCTTTTCTTCATGGCTACTGCAACTACGAAATCAATTTCTCTCAAAGGAGGTTTTAATCTAAGGGAACTCAAATCAGTGAAAATAATAGGCAGATTTCTGTTTATTCTTTGAACTAAATATATCATAAATGGAAAGAAAATGAGTAAAGCAAACATTAATGTTGGAGAACGTTTTTTCACTGACATTCTCTCAACACTAGTGGCCTAGTACACGGATTCATGCACATTGAAAGAAAATTCATTAGAAGAAATATTTTAATATCACTATTTGCCCTTTATAATAGACGTGTCAATCAAATTCATGATCGACAATGACAGATTGAAATACACACGTGCAATTGGCACCAGCGAGAGCTATGTATGTATTGCGCGTGTGCGAGTCAACTTAGCCTTTTATATAGAGAGAACTGGTGCACAATATTCGTGCACAGGTGCGGGTCCCCCCTCAGGATTCCACTGAGTCTCCTATCTACCTACTCCAGGAATTCTGTAAGGATCAAATGAGATGAGGCATGGGAAAACGCTTCACAGACATTTGGTTAAAGTGTGAAATGTTTGCACTTGGCTATAAAGCAAGTCATGTTCCTGGGCTAAAGAAACTGCAATGAGGCTAGTCGCTAGGGAGAGGAAGCTGGGCGTTGCTCCGTAATGTCATTACCCAGTGCCCACAGCGACCATTCTGGGCTGGGCTGTGGGCCACATTTTGCACTATGGGGTCTAGACAGTGTCGGCTGCAATTTGGTGAGCTGTTACTCTGGGGTGGTGGCAGGGCCTGTGTCCCACTTGAGTGAAGCCAAGTGTTGCTTTGTGGGCACCAGTTCCACGGTGCCGTTTCTCTGTGCACATCCCAGCAGCTCCTGCATTGAGCATCTGCCCCCTGGTGGTCAGTGCGCGTCATAGCAGCCAGTTGGACACTTAGCACATTAGCCTTTTATATATAGAAGATCAGTTCATAATGAATTGGGAGTTCTACAGTACACTGTATGATATAGTTAAGGCAAAAAGTTTTACATTTGAAGTGGCTGCATACAACAGGAACTTAAAGATATGAAAAAAAAAACACCTACACTTTATAAAAGAGAAGGAAAAATTAAAATTGTGGCAGTAAATCAAAATGAAAATTTGAAAAGTTAAACCATATTTTTTTATTTATATATAACTATTACATGAATTATAAAGAAGAAAAAGAATATCAGAATGTAACTTGATAGATGTATGCATGGTATGGCTAAGATAAATGTTTCTACATATTATGAGAACATTATCAGTATAACAGGGCATTATGATTATTTAAAAATATGCAGAACTTATTTAATCTGTGCTTTAGAAATAAATGTATACAGTGTTATAAATTGAAAAGAACTCAAAAGAATAACTGATACCAAATATACACCTGGTGTATAAGAATTTAAAAAGGCTGCATTCAGCAAAGTTAGTCAGCTGTATTAAAAATGACACATATCCAAAACAAGATGCATATTATATAAAAAGGGACACTGTAAGATTTGCTAGCTGCATTAAATCCATGGTCTAATCCACGAAATTTCCTTTTAATTATCATTTAGACAGAAGCATGCAAACAGTCTTAGGATCTACTTAGAGTCATCTCCAAACCCACTGAGGCTAGCTATCCTCTTTTTAGGGGCTAAGCAGGTATTCTGGTAGCGGCTTCCTCTTCCGCATCAGCCCGGTTTGCATTAATTTCTGCCAGTGTTCGGCCAAACCGTGCCCATTCATCATTTCGGGGGACAGCAATCTGCTGTTAAAAGAAAATGTTTTATGCATATTGAAATAAAAGATGGGTCTACTCACTATTATTCAATTTGTTTTCAAATAACTTTTCCATTAAAAAGTAATAGTTGACCTGAATGGCCTTTCCATAATTACAGTGACTATAACAATGATTTACACATTCTGAAACAAAAGACAGTGCTTGTGAAATGTGTTCTAACAGCCTCAGAAATGATTTTGCTATTATCACCATCAGTGTGAGAGAAAATAACAATGATGCTCTATAACTATAACTCCTATGCACTATCTCATGACATTTACTGCTGGGGAGGAAAATCTTAAAAAGTTTTACTTATTTACTTCATACTTTATTCCTACTATGAATTAGTTTTTGAAGCATAGTTTAAAAGAACTGGTTCCGCCCTACCCGGTTTGGCTCAGCACAGCTGATCAATGTTTCTCTCTCATCGATGTTTCTAACTCTCTATCCCTCTCCCTTCCTCTTTGTAAAAATTAATAAAATATATTTAAAAGAACTGGTTTCTTATAAGTATTTTTTTTTTTTGCTTGGAGCACAAGATAACCTTTCTTGATATCTTAATCCTGCATCAGAAGATACACTACTTCTCCCCACTTAGTGATGTACCAAGAGCAAAACGGGAAAAGAGGCTTGTGATGCTTTTTTCTCACTGAAGCAGTTCAATAGCAAAATTTTTTGATAATTGTTACTATAATATTAGAGGAATGTGACATTGCCATATTAGGACACAAACCATTCATTGTAGCAAATGGATGTGCCTGCTTATAAAATTAGATTAGGTTGGACAGTGATATCCAATCCAATATGGTACCTACCCACCACATCTGACTACTTACATTTAATGTACTTAAAATTAAATAAAATCTAAAATTTAATTCTTCAATTGTCCTAGTCACATTTTAAGTGTTCAACAGTCATATATGGCTAGTGGCTACCATATTGGACAGTGCTGATACAGAATAATTCCATTTGTGCAGATAGTTTAATTGGCTGTTCTAAATGATTCAATCTACTCTTCAGATCCAACTGCTAGAGACCTTGGGGTGTCCAAGGCCTTTACTGAGCCATACGGCACAGTAAAGAAGGAGTGACTAAGGCATTAGTCAGGCCTGGAAAAAAGGATATCACTCCTGGGATTGTGTACAGCCAACCTAGCACCAATGAGAGAACTGCAACTCATCCTGTTGGATTCAATAATAATGATTCTGCAACAAGGCTCGAGAGCCAAGATCACTTTTCACAATGTCATCAGAAAACTCTAAAAAAATATTACTTTGATTTTCACTACCTGGTCCAAACAAATATATGAATACAGAAAAATAAAATCTTATCTCAATATCAATTCTGTAAAGCTTGAAAGTCCAACTATAACTCCAAATTTCTTTTTATGACTAAAGAATTTCTAGCTTCCAGCAATGCATGCTTCAAGAAGCAAGGTACTTCCAACATATGATATTACCCTCAAAATCTGTTGCATGGGGACATAGGACATCCAGTTTAGAAAGAAAGTTAATCTCAAGAGTCCTTCTCATGGTGGAAAGTAAGTACTATCTTTACAACCATATAGTTTATATAATTCATGAACCTCAAAGACTAGTTTTAACCACGAAGATAGAGTTACTACTATATTGTGAAAGCTAAATAGATGTGTCAAAATTATAGGCAGTGAGCCCCATACCTCTCCCACATCATAAATAACAATCTGTCCTTCAGAATCACCCACGGCAATCTCTCTTCCAGAATGGGTCCATCTTACACGATTAAGAGCAGGATTACCCTCCACAGAAATACTGGCAGTTGGCACCTAAAGGCATTTAAAATATAGTGCAGTGTTAAACATTTCATGAAGATTTCTATAAACATGTAAAATAGTATTTCTTCTTTCTTCCAATCTGGCTACATTTTTAAAGACAAAGATGAAAATAGATAAAGAATTTTCCCAACTTTCTTCTTGTTCAGTGATGCATTATGCATGACATTATAGTCAATCCTTGAAAATGGTTTGGGAAAATTAACTTAAGTCTTTATATAAGAAATTCTCACATGACTGGATACATCATGCTGAAAGATCTTCTCTTTAATAAAGCACTCTTTGTTGTTTTAACTTCCTTAAGAAGTCTAGCTGTTTGACAACAGATGGCCAAACCCCATTTTAAAGAAACATTTCAAAAGCCCTCATAAACAGATTATGGTTCAATTTTTAGAGGACAGGAATTACTTTTGAAGCTTGCATCTCTGTCAGTCATGACTTGTGATTTGAAATAGACCACATATTACAGTC